ATATCAGGGTTAGAATCCCAGCATTTTACGTAAAGATCGACATATTTTGGTGGTGTGCCCTCTACCGGAATTTCTCTGTTTCCTTGGAATACATGAATAACAATCGCAGCTTCAAGTTCAAATGATTGGAATGGAGGCTTGCAACTTGAAATTTCCCAGAGAATTACTCCAAAACTATAGATATCAGACCTTTTATCAATCGTACAGGAAGGATCTTTAAAACATTGTGGTTCCCTATACGCTGGCATTCCGTGAACTTCTGAAGTAATTATCGGATCATTTGTCTGTCTAGACAAACCAAAATCGGCAATCATCATTTTTCCATCGTGAACTAAGATATTTTTTGAATGCTATAAAGTATACTGATTAGTAAATTTCCATATCTAAAAATTATAAATAATATATTTACAAGATCTCTGTGAGTCACTCCATTATGGTGTAAAAACATAAGACCCTGCGCAATTTCTTTGGCAATGCGTAATTTATCTGACCATTGCAATTCTGTAAAATTCGCTCTTAGGTATCCACGCAAGTTTCCATCTTTAGCATATTGTAAAACCAAGTTATAAATTCCAGTTTTAGGATCTACTTATTGGTATGTAATATAAAATATGATAATGTCTTTCAGAACATATAAACTCTTTAACTTAAATAATTACATTTTAAAATAGAGCTACTTGCCTTGAGTTAAACCATAGAAATGGTTTATGTTAGGGTGAAAACTTACTTTCAATAAAAGTTGAAGCTGTGCAAACATATAGTATAAAAAATCTGACCACAAGTTATTTAAGTACCTTGAATAATTAGAAGTTAATAATACCTCTTGAACAAATTCTTGAAACACATTATCCTTTAATCTTTTAAGAACTACAGATAGCCCATTAAATTTCCATTCTGCTTTATACACGGTACCAAATCCGCCTTCACCAATTTTTTCAAGAGTTTCAAACTCATCATAATCAAATTTACTTATGTGTTGCTGTTGGATAGCATCGTCAAACCATTTCTTTAACAACTTTGTTTTTTCAATAGATCTTAAAATAATTGCATTGTCTCGATCAATTTCCAATAACCTAGTTAAATCTGCTGAA